GGCATGCCTGTTCCCTAGATTGTCTGATACAAACTAATCCATCAGTATTTCTCCAGGGTCCTGAGAGATCCCTGTAATTTTCAGCAGCTTTACCTGAGACCCTTGGCTCTAAATCACTTTCCTCACTTCTCCTCCACCGGTGTTCCTGACCCTGGGCTCCCAGCCCTGTCATGAGGCCCTCAGGTTTCACTAGTTTCCAGTGGGGTTCAGCACACAATGGAGGATGGACCCCCTTCTGATTCTGGGCTTCCTGACTGCTGATCCTCCTCACCTTCAAAGCTCAGCCAGCTCCCACCTTTGGCCGTTTATTGTCTCCCCCACCTCCCTGGCAGTTCTTGAGGGATCCTCCTCAGAGCTGGAGGTTTCAGCGAATAGCAAGCCCACCAGCGCTGCCAAGGTTCAAACCTGCAGACTGCAAAATGGAGAGTCAGGAGGAGGCTGAGGAAAGGAACTGCCAGGAGGGCGATACTGCTGCCATGCCCCTCCCCCAATCCAATCAGGGCCCCTCACATGCTGTTTTGCATTTGGTTTGCACTTGACTGATCCACACAGAACCCCCCACCCCCCACCCCACCATCACAGCCGTCTGAGGGAGGCTCCCTGTGTGAGCTGCACCTTCCCCCTCGGGTTGGCTCCTAAATCTGCCCAGTGGCACCTTCCCTTGTCTTGGGTATGACAGGGGCAAAGTCTCTATGGACCGGCTACTTCGGGCCTGTGGTCCTCCCGAATCAGCCTTTGCAGGGTAAGGCAGCTCTTTCCTGAAGCCCAGGGAGGATGCGGTGGGGTAAGGCGCGCGCGCCTCGGGAGCCGGCAGCAGGCGGGGAGGCAGAAGCCACTTGGCAGGAGCCCCGCGACCCGGACTCACAGAGCTCCCACTGCCTGCGGCCGGAAGCGCGCCCAAACCAGGCTCAGTCCTGCTCAAGACTGCCGGGCGCGTGAATGCCTAGCCTGCCTGGGGAATGGAGGTGCATTTCTGCTCGTTCCTCTAGCGCTCCGAGGGCTTCCGCAGACCTCTTCCTTAGAATCTGAGCTTTTGGGCCCGGTTCCGTCTAAGAGCAGCAGCGTGAAGCCTCTTGGATTGAACGCAGGCGGTGGCAGTGGGTCTGTCACCTGAGCCAGCTACTTGACCCTTCCCTGCCTTGGTTGTTCCCCATCTGTAACGTGGCCACTTGGCGGAGCCCTTACGGCTACTGAACAGAAAAACGTGTAAAGCAATGGCTCCTGCTGCAGCCGGGTGGGATGCGAGGCGACAAACCGACAACCTTGTACCGTGGTCAAATACGAGGGTCAGGGACCACGGCAGATACAGGCTTCTTCCGGGAAACCGTGAGGGATGGGGGTGCGAGAGTTTTCTCTGGTGCGCGGGAGGGCCCCGTGCCCACAGCCAGCTTCCTCGAGCCGCTCTGCAAGTTCTGGTACCACCTCCCTCTGCCTCTCTCCCCTCACTCCGAAAATGCCCAGCCCCTCCATCCAGTTGGGGTGGCTTCTTTCTAAGAATTTCACTCTGCAGGCTGTTCTAGGGTCTGGGGAGAAAAATGAGAGTCCCAACGGCTTCTCCTGCAGCAGTTCCTGCAAAGGCACCCCAGGGAGAGGCTGCAGGCAAGGTCGCCGCTGGGTCCCTGGGGGCGGGCCTTCCGCCCCTCTCCAGACTGGGGCGACAGCGACAACAGGCCATCCTTGCTTGTTCAGTTCACTGGTTTATTGGTCCTTAGCATTACATTTCAATTACCAAGGTAAATTCACATACATAACTGCAGGTAAAAACATGTAAAATAATAAAAAAATAAATTGAAGGCTACTTTTATATATTTACTGAATTAAGTAGTGTAATAAATACTATATAATAAGCAAAAAGCTTCAATCACACAGTTCAGTTTCACTGAAGTTACAGTAGTGTTTGTAAATACGAGTTTTAAAATTTAAGTTACAAATATTAAAGCACTGAAAAACTAGTATAAAAGTGAATTTTGGCACGTAAGTGAGCTCTTATGTCATTAGTATTTGACAACCTGGGACAATGAGGAAGCCATTTCTCACCTACTTTTTGAGGTACAACTATCCAACTAGGTCAGCAACATGGCTGAAATACTTAAAAAGTTTACAATCTTCGAGTGAACTTTTCCCTTTTGAGAAGCCCAAAGAGTAACCCAGAGCTTATTACTGTGCAAAAATTCTCCAAAATTCTAATCGAATTTGGGAGGTTAATGTTTTCTTGCAACCCACAGGGCCCAGTGTCCAGGCCTCAGGTCGCAGAGCCCCCCAGGGCTCAGTGGGGCCAACTGGACTTCCTGCCAGAGGCCCCTAGCTAGGAGGACCCCGTTTTCTCCAATTTCTACCTCCTTCCTCCAATCACGAAAAGGAAAATCCCACATCAAAACGCAAAACAATCCATAACTTCAGCGACTTCAACATTATCACACTCATCCTGGGTGATACGAAACTGAAGCTGCTAACAGGAAACTTGGCAAAAAGTACGTAAACCCCTGGAGGACTCTGCCTGCCCCTAGGAACCACTCCGATGCCTTCGCTGGGCCCCTGTATCCACTTCGTTTCTAAGGTCAAAGGCTAAAAACACAGTGTCCTGGCTCTTTCTGGGGCCAGCCTAAGACCTCACCACCTGGCCTGGAGCTAGGAGGAATCAAGTGGATACGAAACGTTCAGCCAGAAGACTTGAGAGGCCCTGCTCCAGAAGGGGCAGCGCCGGAGGCACCCTCCGGCCTCAGTCCTCAAGGAGCTCACGCGGTGCTCTGCCAGTGCGCCTCTTCACCAGGGGGCATGGCAAGGGTGCTGAGGAATGCCCTTTCGCCAGCGTGCCCCTTCACACTCCCCAGCAGGCTGAGGAGTGTCTATGGAGGCCTCCGGCCAGTTGTGCCTTTTTGGCTTTGAAATTTCTTCACGTTTTGACTACTTTTTTCAATCACAGTTTCATCTTCAAGTTGAGGTAATCACAGTTTTCCCTCTATGAGGAGAGGAATTGGGACAGTGGGGCAGCTTGGTGAGAGAGCATTTCTATGGACAGTGGTCAGAAACCAAGACCACCATAGAGCACAGCCCTACAGGGTGGGAAGACCCACTCTCACGGGCGGGTTCCGACCCCTCTTTAAAAACTCTTTTTTGTGCAGCAGCCAGAGTGCTGGGCCACAGCAGCCAGGAAATGGCTCGAGAGCTCCTAGATCTAGAGCTTTCATTTAAAACTTCACAGCAACCCACCGGGAGGAAATGGCCTATGGGTCCCCCGGTCCCCCACCCCCCACCCCTTTTCTAAGGCTGCTCAAGTTTTGAGTTTTTAAAAAGAGCTCGGTAAAACTACAGGAAGCTACAGTAACTCACTGGTTAATCAATTGCACTTAAAATCTACATATAAGTTATTGATTCTCAAGCAGAAGCAGGCCTGCTGTGGACCCTGGCATTCAGCCAGCCAGAAGTGAGGGGCTCCAGACTTCAGCTCCACAGATGGGTCCTTGTACCTAGTGACTTTCGGAGCTAGAGATGGAGCATGTGGGCCTTTTCAGAAGGCTTTTTTGATTCAAGATTTCATAATCATTGAATTTGGACTTTTGTTCATTTGGCTTCAAATACAAATTGTTTCCTTCTACTTCCAATACATTTTACTGATGAGCCCTTGACAATGGCTTTGCTATTTGCCGCAGGCCTCTGAGTGCCAGGTACCCAGGCCTGCCCCTGCCTGTCTCTCCCCTGCACTAGGGGGTCTTTCTCAAGAACCCCACTACATTACTGGAAACTCTTTGCTGGTTTCATCTATGTGCTTCTTCCTAAGGCATGCAAAATTTATGTGAAATTCAGAAAGCATTTACAATCCAGCCAGCTGAGGTGCCGAAGGCCTCTAAGACATCACCTGAATGCAGTGCTGGTGACCTTCCGACCTTCCCCCATCCCCAATTCTGGAGGTCAGACGTGGGGCACACTTGTAATTCTCCTCTGCTTTCTGGTCAGTGGAAAACAAAGCCACTGAATGGAATTCAAACTTGGGCATTGGAATTAGAAATTCCTGGTCCTCAGGAGTCAAACAAATCCAGGGCCAGCAACAATACCTGGAGGTATGACTTTCCTGAAGTTTGTATCTGGAAACCAGGCCTTCCCTGGCAAGGCTGATAGAAAGCCTGGGTACCAGAGACTGAACCCCCTTCAAGGGCACCCCATAAGGGATGAGACTCCTGGGCCTGAGATTCACCAGGATGCTTCCTCCACAGTGAGGCAAAGCACCCCCAGGAAGGCTTGAGCAGCTGGGTTGCTCTTGTCCCTGAACTGGGGAAACCAGAGTGATGCCACCAGGGGAGCTCAAGAAGCAATCACAATGGGGACTGAACGTGTCAACTCAGCTACGTGCCTTTCCCCTCAGTTTAGTCCACAAGGGAAATCCCCTCATTTTAGAACAAGCTGTTGATCTCTCCCAAGCTGCTGGCTCTGTGGGCTGGGCTGGGCAGGGCTTGTCCTGCTCACTCCAGGTCTGGGCCCAGGGCCAGCTCCTTCAATGGAAGGGACCTAAGCAAAGGAGGCAGGCACTCCATTGGGGATAAGGCCCCTCCTGGGGCACTGTCTGAGGCCTGAAGCCTAGGGTGGCCTGGTCCCCCAGGCATGACCACAGTTCAGGCAGCCAGGGTCCCTTTTGAGTCCCGGCAGGTCCTCTGTGGAATCAAAATGCGTCTCCCCATCCTTATACAATGAATGCGTCAATAGGCCAAAGGAAATCCTGTTTTCAGAGACCCAGAGGTCCTGGACTGCCAGCTCCACACACAGGACAGTCCCTATCTGCTCACCCTGCACAAAGACCCCCGCCCCCCACCCCCCAGTGGTCCACGTGATGCTCTTCAGCGCTGTATAGAGAATAAAGACAACATGCACTCAAGCCAGCACACATAGGCCAAGGAGAACAAAGGCAGGCCCTCTAGGGAGAGGCCTCCAGGAGAGCTGAGGTTAAGACGCCCTGTTCATCAGTCTCCAGGCAGACATTCTGCAGGACGTATGGGCGTAGCTTTCCTCTAAGGCTTCTGCTCAAAGAGGTCATGATACTCCTGCTGCTCCAACTCGCGGTTATACTTCTCAATTTCTCGGTTAGCTTCTTCTACATAGTCGTTCATGAACTGGTCCATGACTGGAATCTCATTAAGGAAGATAGCCCTGAGCCCAGAGGTCAAGGGAGCCTGTCTAGGATTGAGAGGGATCTGTGGGTTGGTGAGGTGGGAGACACAGAGGTGAGTGTCCAGCCTGCACAGTGGTACCTGATGGGTTCTTTATGTAGTGACAGCATTACCTGGACAGGTGTGGGCACAGGATCCTCAGTGAGGTCCTAGAACGAAGCCCTTCACCTTTCACTAGCACGCAGAAGCATCTCCGAGCTCACATTTCACTCCAGTGATCCTTCTACAGATTAATGTCATCAGGCACAGCTTCCATCTTGTAAATGATGGCCCTGATGATCATGGGACTCAGAGTCTCATCTGAGTTCTCGAATGGGTTGTGTGACACATGAGGGCTGTATTTAAACTACTGCTCATACAGCAAAATGTAGCAGAGACAGCACAGTAATCACTGGAAGAAGGACAAACCTAACTCTAATGACTTTAAAAGTCAGCCCCTGTGTTTGCTCCTGCGTTCCCAGCCCCATCCCCTGGGAATGCACAGCCGTGGGAATGCACAGCCCAGCCTGCTCCCCGGTTCTGGCAGCGGCAGCTCACGCAAACACCCTCTTTACAGACAGAGTCACACACGCCCCAGCCTCCACACAAGAACCAAGTGCTCCAAAGATACGTGGGTGAAAATCAGTCTTATCACCAAAGAAGTTGACAAACTGAGTTCCGTTATAAAAGTAGCCTGCCGGTAGTGGGTCCAGATGGCGTTTTACCTGTAGGGAAAAGGAATTCTGTTAGTATGACCTGACCACTTTCTATCATTTATTCACTTATTAAAAAGAAATAAACAAACCTATTATCCCAGCAAGACAGTCTACACTGCCCTGTGGAAGGCCAGAAGTGTCAGGGAATTAGCATCCCCCCGGCTGCCCTCCAGCAATGACTGATAGAGGTTCCTGCCTCTGAGAAGAGGACTTGGAGTTTCTAGTGGGATTACGGAGAGTGGCCTGCAGTGGGACACAGTGGTTTGATAATACCTTCTTTATCGTCTCCCTACCTTTCCCTTTCCTCCTTTACTTTCCCACTTCCCTACCAGTGTCTCCTAGAATCATCTCCCCAAACAACTCAAAACTCAAAAACTCACTGCCATCAAGTCGATTCCAATTCATAGTGACCCCCTTTGGGTTTCCAAAGTGGTAAATCTTTACGGAAGTAGATTGCCCTGTTTGCCTTCTGCGGAGTGGCTGATGGATTTGAACTATGAACTTTCTGGTTAGCAGTCAAATGCCTTAGACACTACGCCACCAGAGCTCCTTCCCAAAACAAGTACCTGTGCTCAAAACCTTGCTCAAGGTCTGCTTCTGGGGAACCACAGTGCACTGACTGCCTCCTGAGGTGCCCACATATTCTTCCCCAGGAGCCTGCAGAAGGCCAAGCCTAGCATGCAGACTTGCCCACATTGTACAAGAGCCAGACATGAAGGGACCTTCTTGAGTCAAAGTAGGGGCTCTGGGAGAACCAGGGCAGTACTTTCCTGTGCCATCCACTCATTATTGGGATGGGTGACACAGTCCATCCTGGGGGCCTGGGCAGTGCCCCTTTTAGCCTTTGCCCCGAAGCCCTACAGGAAAAGGGCCTCAGGGTGCGGGGAGAGGCTGGGGCAGAGGCTGGAGCCAACCTGAAGGTTGGCAGGGTTCTTCTTCCTGCCTCAGGATTCCACTACCTTCCCACGTTGTTGTTGTTGTTGTTACGTGCCGTTGAGTCGGACCCGAATCATAGCGACCCCTCCTTGGGTTTCCGAGGCAGGATCACTACGGAAGTAGATTGCCCCATCTTCCTTCTGATGGGTAATTTCTAAATCTAGACAGTTTTTTCCTGGGGCCCTCCTTGGTTTCTGTGTGACTGATCCAGGACAGAGTGATGGGAGGAGCAAAGGCCTTCTGTAGCTGTTTGACAGGGTAACATGACAGGGCCCCACTTCACATCACATCACATCACAGGTTCCTCCCACAGGTACTGGTTCTTCTTGATCTCACACACAGGTCATGTCAGGGGTTGCCCCACCCTCCTCTTCACTGAAGCTGCCAGGCTTCTCTCTACCTAGCTGCCCTCTGGAGAGAAGTGAGATTCCCAGCATGCCCTACAAATAGCTCCCTCACTCAGGGAGTTCTGAAGGATGGAGCTATGTCAGCCCAGAAGGGCAGCCTTGGGACATGAGGAGAGAGTGGGGCTCAGAAGCCCAGGGCAGGGTACTCACATGGATGTTCCTGATCTCCTGCTGGGTCAGCATCCCCCTGGTCTTCAGGGCTTTCCTCTGCGGCTTCTGTACAAAGACAAAGGGGATCACGTTCCAACAGAGCAGATGGGGCCCATGGGTGGGTGAAGTCTTGGGGCTTTGGGGCCAGCTGTATCTCTAAAACCCCAGCAGAGGGAAAAGCACAAGAATTCTCAAGGCCATAACTTCCTGCCTGCCTGTCTCTGGAGAAGACCACTTTTCCACCAGAGCCCTGAGTGCCAGGGAACAAGTGGTGGAGAAGAGTCCATTGATTTTGTAAACAAGGATGTTTCTGCATATTTTCAGGTTCTCATGTTCAAGCCCTACCAATGACAGACATTCTGAAAAGGGACAACTGAGGGTTCCACAGTCAAGCACCATCAGGAATTTGTCAGATAAGAGTCTGAAAGACAAAGCCTGCAGGGAACTGGGCATCTGCTGGAGACCCAGGCCCCAGGCAACTCTAGAATAAGCTACACCCTGAGGTTGCGCTAAAAGCTCCAACACCCAAAGTCTGCAGCACACTAAAGGACTTCACGCTGGGTTTTCCTTTGTAGCTTTAGGCTAAAAATGCTGGCGTGAATATACAGAAAGCCTCCCCTCCTGTCTCCAGGGCCACATGGCTCAGTACTCTCCACACTTGGAGTCCTGGTTTATAAATAGCCCTCAAGTTATCATTGTTATATCTTTCTAGAGATAGAACCCAAGTATGGAGATTCTGGGCTAAGAATATAGGAGTCTTTGAATTAGACTCTGCTAAGAAAAGACATTTTGGGTTTAGAATATCAGGTAGACCCAAGATCCATATGGAACATAGGTTTAACCTAGGTCTTTGTAAACCACCCAATGATTCCAGTCTGCCTTAGGAAGAGGAATTAGAAATGCCTGTGAGAACCTGGGCTCACAGGGTAGGCAACACATGCTGGCTGTCTAGAGTGTGCAGCTGTCTCCCAATCTCTAAGTGTCTGAAAGTGCTAGCTGAGCCTGCTGGGTTGATCAGTGGAGGGGAGTTTGCCTCAGGCTGTGGTGGTCCCATCTGTGCCAGGTCTGTCTGGACTTTGGGAACAACCTGCTTAGCTGACTGCCGCAGCCAGTCCTTGACACTTTCTTCCTTTAGGGAGCAGCCGATGAACACAAGGTAGCTCTCCTGCTGCCCACTGCTGTCTTGAGGTGTGCTTCTGGAGTCAGGTGGTGGAGTAGGTCCCTCCAACACCGGCACAATGCTTAAGGAATTGGCTAGAGTGTTGTGGCAGACCTCCATGGTCCTCTCAGAGTCTGCAGAGGGAACATTTGTTAGTCCTCTTGATCCTGGCCCAAATGACAAGGCTACAGTAAGACTTTAACAAAGCAGCTGGTAAATTGGGAGCAGAATCCTAAGACAGATGCAGAAGATGGGACTGATAAGGCTGCTGGCAAATTAGAAAGGATGGAGTAAGAGAGGGAGGAGCAAAACAAGTTTCTATCTTGGCTGATTTGGATGGCAAGGTAGATGCTCTTAACCCAGAAGGGGGATACAAGAGGAAGAAAAGGTGTTTTTGTGGGGGAAGAGGACTTGGACTTTGTACTTGTGGAATCTGAAAGACTGTAGGATAAATGGGAGACACTCATGTGGTCATTAGGAGGAGGTGGTTACCCATGTGGAAGAGGCAGAGGAGGAGCAAAGAATGCCTCTTTGGTAGCATGTGGAGGGAGGCCTCATCAGAGGCCTGAGAGGAAGGATACAGTCCAAGGGGAGATGAGCTGGTCAACAGTACAAGGTCACATGGATGGGGACTGGGCTGAAAGGCTGTGACATTTATAGGCTGTGGAGCTGGTAGACAGGACTGACTAGAGACATAAGTAAAGGGCAAGGTCTCCCAAAAGGCAGGATGATAAAGGGATTCAGAGTGAAAAATGTTAACCTTGAACAAGAAGAGGTCAATAGTGGGTGTGGTGCAGTGAACTGCTTTTATAGGCCTTTCTAGTCATGGTCTTTTAATTCTCACAAAATGATTGGTTGAGATTATGCAAATAAGGTATAAAATTCTTGCAGGGATTGGATAGTCTACTATGAAAACAAAGTGACTGTGCCCTACTAAGAGGACTGATCAGTTTTGCATTCTTGCCAAGTTTATAAACGTTAATCCCACAGAGGCTGAAGAAGAGTCCCCAGCAGAGCAGGTGCTGTGGATAAGCTGAGAACCGACTAGACTCAGAAAAAAGAGCCAGTGCTGAAGATGGTAAGAGATAATGGTGGTGGGCCTCCCTGGCAGGCCCACAGAATGAGAGCTCAGTGCTTTCAGGCAGGAGCCTTGCCAGAAGAGCTAAAAAAGCTGTAACACTCGCTCATACAGGGCAGAGGCCCGAGCGTGCCCGGTGCAGGAGTTGCCTGGGAGGAACCTGTGCTGAGGTATTCCTATAGCAGGGTGAAGCCAGATGCCTCTGGGCAGAAGGCTTGCCAGCAGAGCTAAAAGAACCATAACACTTTCTTTGCAGGGCAAGAGAGGCCTAAGTGTGCCCTGTGCAGGGGTTGCATGTCTTTCCCCCTGGGCAGCAGGGGCCTGGGTAACACACCAGCAAGAAAGCTTTGCAGGCTCAGGTAGCATGGCAGGAGCCAGTAGCTCCACCAGCAAAGTAAGGCCCAGTGGCAGAGCAGAAGCCTCGGACAGCCTGGTGGTAGCTGGAGGCAGCAGTGACATGAACACAGCATCCGACCTGAACCGCAGCGCACTGGCCCTGACATAATAATGGACTTGGGTAATTCAGGGAAGAGTAAGCATTTCCCCATTGGGAATTTGTTGCTATTGTTTAATGTTTGCTTTCTATAAATAATAACAATGACTTTCATTTTGCCAACTCTGTGTTAAGTTCTCATGTGTCTGGCTCAATCACAGGTGAATATAGCCCCCATGGAATAGTTGATGTCAGTGGATGTATGTGTCTCATTCCTAGCAGTCTAATGGCTGCCTGAAAGTTTGAGGCACAGCCTGTCTGAAAATGCAATGCATATAGACAGACATGTTCATACAGTGTGGTTTTTGGTTACCTAGTGCTGCTCTAACAGAAATACACTACAAATAGGATGGCTTGAAGAAAGAGTTTATTCTCTTACAGTTTGGAGGCTTTAAGTCTGACTTCAAAGTGCCAGGCTCTAGGGGCAGGGTGAAAGCCCCTCAACCTTGGGCTTTAGCTCTGCCTCCTGCTCCCAGCCCACTGAAGCTAGAGGCTTTTTCTCACTCAGCTCCTGGCTGCTGAGGCTGACAAGCCCACAGATAACAAGTAATAAGGCACAGTTCCAATATTACCAGACCACATGGCAGGCCATTAATTCAAGTCCACTGAAAGTCCCAAGATCGGCAGAGCATGGCAGGCTGCAGAACAACGACTCAGCTACATGCAGGGTTCAAGTGTGCCATAAGCTAGAGACCATTCTCAAAGCTGTTTCTTATATACAGGAAGCAGACCACATCCCTAAGACAGCTTACTCAGATGCTCATAGTAGATTCCACCACAGAGTTGATTACCAGTCTCATCATGGGGAATACTCCAGTTGCCTAGCCACTGAACCACACCCAGCCAAGTTGACACACAGACTTAACTACCACACAGTGGGTTTAAATATGGAAGAAAAGGACATGACGATGGGTGAGAATGTTGGAAGGAAGGAAGATGAAGGCATTAAGACCCCTGAACTAGGCAGGGGCTATCTGCTAGAGCCTAAGGGAAGTGGGCTTGGGTAAGGGGCATGAGGAGAGGGGCCAGGGTTTCAGATTCACTGAACATAAATTAAGCAAAAGGTATGGGCTAAGAACCTGGAGAGATTCTTTACTATAGTTTATGACATTTGATTCTCCATCATAGTCCAATGATTAAAATCTTCAGAGCCTCTTTACAGTTGCCTGCTCAGCATCCCCTCATCCTCCAATACCAAATTCCTTGGGTGATGGGTCCAGGAAGGCACAGCAACTGTACCCTAGCCAATGAGAAAAGAAGTCTGCCAAGGAATGGGGAGGAGACATTACAGGGAAAGGCTTCTGCATTGATGAACCCAGCACAGGAAGAGAAAGGCTCTCCTTACGACATCCAGAGGCTGTATCTGGATGTGACACCTAGACCAGCTGTATCAACTTGGCAATCAACTTGGTAACCTGAGGACAAACTGACACACAAGAAACAAAAGAATGATCACACATTACCTGGGTCTTCAGTGGCTTTGTTAAGCTGCCTGACCCCTCAATTTTTTGTTAAGCTAGTGGAATTGGGATTTTCTGTTATAACAGATGACGATGTCCTAATGGATGTACTCCTTTTACCACCAGGGCCCAGCCACAGTAAAGCCTTTTTGGTTCCTCAAATGTGCCTTTTCTGTCTCAGGCCCATAACACATGCTGTTTCTTTTTCCTAGAATATTCTACCCTTCCTCAACCTTGACCTTGTTTGGAGGCCTTCCCTCACTCCTAGACTACAATAAACTATTGGGTCAGGGGACTCCAGACGTCTAAGGCTCACATGGGCCTACTGGGCAGCAGGGAGGAGCAGGCAAGTGGAAGGCTAGAAGACTTGGCTTGAGATGGAACTGGAGCTCAGCAGTGGGGTAGCTCCTCTTGAGAGAGCCAGGAAGAAGCCAGGGGTGGCTCAAGAGGGATGCAATATTTGTCTTTGGAACAAGGAAGTCAAGGAGAGGCCCTGGGCAGGTCACCCAGGGGAAGAGGGACAGAGCCTCCACTGTGGAGCAGAAAGATTCTGAAGCGAGGTAAGGCTGAGAGGAGAGACTGGAAGAGTTCAATGGTGTAAGGCCCACCAGAGGAGGTTCTGAGAGAGTCTGAGAGGCATTAGAGGTCTGCAGAGCACCTGTGGAGACTGTAAACTTGGTACATTTTGAATCCTTCAGAAGGTGCAGGTAGGGTAGGGCCAGTGTTGGGTGGGGGGGAGGGAGGGAGGGGAAGGTAGGAGGGGGAGAGCGGGAGGGGCATGATATCTAGGCTCTCCGCAGTACAATGCTCCCAAATTCAATCCCTCAGTTACCTGAAAACTTCACTTTTCCCAGGATGTGGTAGATGTTTCCAGAGAAAGGACTTGGCTTAATGGAGGATTGAATTGCTGGTGGAAAAAGAGGACAAGGCTGTCACCAAACTGGTGGCAGAGGCCGAGTTCAGGACAGAACAGCTGGGAAGGTTAGGGACTGGGGAGAGACCCTACTCTGGGGTCCAGGGTTCACAGGGTGTCTCCCACTCCTCCCCAGTGGCTCTGCTACTGTTCCCAGAGGTGGGCAAACTCTTCCAAGAGAGTATAGATCAAAACTGAGTGGCCACCCAAGATCAGAGGTAGGGGACTCTTAGGTCCTCAAATCCCTCTGTCTGTTTTGGTCCTAAATGGTAAGGAAAAGAGACAGCAAATGAAAGAGTGAAATAGTGCCAGAAAGCAGCGACACTGTGGGACACCCCTTCACCAGAGTCTAGGACATGTCACAGACAAGGCTTACCTTTACATCTGGCCACGAAGCGAGTCTTCTCCAAGGGCCGACCAAACCATACGCAGATCTGAACCATTAGTGGAAAGACTGATCCAGAATCAAATTTACCTTCATACCTTAAAAGGTTTAAGAAATTATAAGTACAAGTAACAGGGGCTTTGAGTATTACTGTATACTGCTATGGCATAAACTACACACCATGTGGCCTGTAATTTTTTACTTCCCCCTTGCTTGTACGGCAGCATAAGAGACACATCCTTGTTTAATGTGTACACATCTTTCAACTTCCGATTGGGATGCACAGCTGCATCTATCAGAGCAGGGGCTTTCTGAGGAAAGAGTCCTTACATCCTCAGACCAATAGCTCCTTGAAGTCAAAGGCTCCGTCCTCCTCTGCGGCCTGTGAGTGACCACCTGAGGTTGGAAGTCCTTCCCGATACACTGGAGCCCTTCTTCAGCATTCCCTGCTACTCCCTTCTGGGCTTTAACTATGCACTGCCACATTGTTTTGGGCAGCTTAACAGAGGCTGTATGTCAGGATGCATACATTCTCTCCAGAATGAACTGACAGGGCAGGGCCATCTCTGCTTGACTCTTCCAGTTTTGAGATCAGCAGACATACTGTCTGCCACAGGTTCACTAGGAACACAGTCATATTCAGAGCATTTAAAAAACTGAACTTTCTGTTGTGGAAATTTTCAAACATACACAAAGGTAGGAAGATAGTATAATAAACTCCCATCTACCCACCACCCAGTGTCTATAGTATGGAACAGTCATTCTTTTTTCTTCAGAATTATTTCCCTGAGATAAATCCCCATGATTAGATTTATGGGGGAGAGGGGCCGGGGAAGGGTCTGGAGGGGGAGGTCATCTCATGGGTAATAATTTACATTGCCCCCAGCAGTGAGTATTAGAGACCTTTTTCAATGAATTTAATAGGTGTCAATAAAACAATGAGGCATTTCTCAGTATTACTGAACTGTTACCATGATTGCTATTTATATTTGCTGTTAACTGTTCATATCTATGTGGACTTGATTACTTTTCTTAAGTAGCCAAACAAACTTCCCAAATACTATAGCTATTGACTCTGAGCCACATTCGATGCAAACATTTTCCTCTACACTGCTGTATTTTCTTATTAGTTTCTTCTGTTTGTGTTTTGTTTCTGTGCCACTCTGAACTTGGCCTCTGCCCCCAGGTGGGTGACAGCCCTGTCCTTTTCCTCCGGCAGCAATTTAGTCCTCCATTCAACACTACAGTTTTGAACTTTTTATTGCTGAAAGTATATTACTCTTTTTGATATTTTTAAAGCAAGGTGGTTGGCGTAACATTTTTGCAAGACTGACATACTCTTTTCGCAGCCCTCCAACCACCCAAATATGCCACTGGGTCCAGTTTGCGGGAGGTTACAGGGAAGCTGTGGGTGTCTCTGGCTTGTGAGCCTGAGTCCTTAATGGAATTAGGAGGGGCTAAGAGAAGAGAGCAAGATTATTCCCAGGCCAGAAAGGAACGGTCTCACCAGGGAAGGTGGCGGTAGGGTGATGAGAACAGAGGGCTGTGGGAGAGGAACTAAAGGCAGTAGTTCAGTTGTGGTGGCCTTGACCAAAGGGAGGGAAGAAGAACAATGTGTGGGACGAGTGGGAGGAGACAATCACTATCACCTTGTTAAAAAATGAAGTTATCTGATTCCTTATGTGGACCCAGAAGGGAGGGCCTGAAGGGTGACTATTACTTTTTTTAAATTTTTATTGTGGCAAATATATAGGTAACAAAATATCTGCCACTTCAACAAGCTTCACATGTACACTTCACTGGCATTAAATATGTTTAGCACGTTGTTCAATCATCACCATTCCTGAATTTTCCCACCACCTTCACCAGAAGCTCAGCATTCCCTAAGTGTTATGTCTTCTTTTCCTGTCCCTGCCGTCTTCTGCTGGTAACCACGGATACACTTTGATCTCTATATACTTGCCTAGTCTAGATATTTCATATAAATGGGATCATATAATATTTGTCATTTTGTGATTAACTTAAGGAGCCCTCATGGTACAATGGTTAAGCACTCAGTTGCTAACCAAAAGGTAGGTAATTCAAACTCACTAGATGCTCTGTGGGAGAAAGATGTGACAGTCTGCTTCTGTAAAGATTACAGCCTTGGAAACCCTATGTGGCAGTTAAACCCTGTCCTGTAGGGTCACTATGAGTTGGAATCGACTTGATAGCAGTGGGTTTGGTTTTCTGGTTTGATGACTAACTTAGCTGAAGGATGATTTTGAGGCCCTTCCATCTTTGATTCTCTACGAGGCCTCAACTACTTGCTGATGGGAAAGGTCTCAGCCTCTAGACTGCAGTCTTCTAAAGAGGCCCTCATTCCCTGCTCTCTCCTGGATCAACTTGCCCCCAGTAAGTCCACACCCTGAGTTAGACTCACATGGCCATACCCAGAATGAGTCAGTAGGATGACTGGTAGCTAGATACTTCCTTAGGTGCCAGGTGGGAGACCAGAGGGGTATGGGCAATAAAATGGTCAGAAACTGTAGTGTCAGAGCACTTTACACTACTAGTGCCATCTCTTTGTTTTTAGCTAAGACAGATTCATCTTGTTCAGACATAAGGAAGGATCCACTTACCCACTTACTTAAGGCAAGTATGACGTGACTCAAATCAGAGGTTGCTTCTAAGACTATACCTGAAAATCTCTGGTTTTATCTATCAGCCTTCTGGGAATTCATTACAGCAAAGTACAACCAGATTTTTTGTCTAAAATACTGGTGGTTAAGAGATTGTATGGAGGAAATAGAGGCCTTGGGGAAGTGAGTAAGGCTAGCAGAGATAATCCAAATAAACATGGGAGATGAATTCTGGCCAAGCTTTAATGACTGTTGTCTCTTAAACTTTAAACAGGGCAGAAATTAGTTATCTATTCTATACAGAGACAGGACAGCACAGTGGGCTGGAGCCAGACAGTCTAGGTTTGAAATCCAGCTCTTTTATTTATAAGCTGCATGACTATGGACAAGTCATTGAACTCCTTGCTGCTTCAGTTTTCTTATCTGTAAAAGGAGACAAACAATGGAATCCACCTATAGGCACAGTGTGAGGATTCATACAGGCGAAGCTCTTAGAACAGTACTGTCCGATGGAACTTTCTATGGTTACCAAGCACCTGAAATGCGCCTTATGTGAAAGACTTAATTTTTAATTAATTTTTACTAATTCAAAAAGCCACACGAGACTGGTAGCTCCTTATTGGACAGTGCAGTCTTAGCACAATGCCCAGCACACAGTAAGTGCCCAAGTGATGTTGGTCGTCTGCACTGCTACAGTGCACTTGGCACTCTTTCCTTTCTCCTCACCCCTCTGAAGGGGAGGTTCACAGGTTGTGAGGAGCCTGCAGAGAAGAGAACATCGTCTGGGCCATACCAGCAGGGAACCTGCTTCTCAGCCCCAGAGGGCTGACTATTTTCAGGAGTAACTCTCTCACCTGGGAAAGTTATAACCCCTGGTTCCATGCCAGCCAACTCATCCTCATTAGAGGTTAGAGGAAACACAGGCTACTGCTATGCTTGGTACCTACAGGCTGACTCCCTGAATCTCCACAATCCAGGAAGGCTCCAAGTTGGAGCCTAAGGTGTGGAGCACTGGGCTCCTGTAAGGCTGGTGGCTGATGGGACACAGCAGCAGTCTGGCTATTGCCATGTGTCACCTGTGTAGACAACATCTGGTATTTCCATTTTCTTTCTTTTTTTTTGCTCTGTGACTAATAAAACAGATAAATCTTAGCTACTTTTCAAAGATACTTACCAGCCAGGGTACATTAAATATCGAGCTCGTAGCATCTGAGGACTCGAAAAACTGTTTTCTGAGAGAATAAGTTCAATATCTTCATTCCTTTGAAAACACACAGGTCAGTTAGGACTAGTAATCTTAACCTGTCTTTTTTTTTTTTTTTTGGCTTTAATTATTTTTTAAAGAGAAAATTTATCTGCATAAAATAAAACTTCCTTTTTTTCTTTTATCACTGTATTAAAACAGAGTATTGAACATTATTTTAAAAATAATTTTATCAAAAGAGCTTGACTTTTTCTCTTTAAAAAATTATTTTCTTTTTTTTCACTGTGATTTGAGTGAAAGTTTACAGAGCAAATTTGTGTTTCATTCAATGGTCCATACATGTTTCGTTTCGTGACACTGACTGCAATCCCCACCTCGTCCCCGTGCTTACCCTTTCCCTGTGCCCTTCTTTCCTACGTACTCCTGCCCTCTGAGCTTCCTCCCTACACAAATGCCGCCCTTCTGCTCTCTCACAGTTGATCGTTCTAAGGAGTGAATCTCTCGTGTAATCATTTACCTTCTATAACTGTCTATTGTTTGGCTGGAAGTTAAGTCACAGGAGTGAGTTCAATTTCACCCTTGAAGGGTGACTAGGGGCCAGAGTCTCAGGGGTTTCACTAGTTTATGAGACCAGTAAGCCTGGTCTTTCTTGATTTTGAGTTTTGTTCCACATTTTCCTCCCACTCTATCTACGATATCCAATTCTGATCCCTTTCCAAATGGCTAGTGGTGGTAGCCTGGCACCATCTAGTTCTCCTGGTCTCAGGGTCATATAGGCTGAAGTTCCCATGGTCCACTAGTCTCTTGGATTAATTGTTTTCATGTGTCTTTGATTTTTTTCACTCTTCTTTGCTCTAGACAAGGAGAGACCAATTTTTGCATCTTAGATGGCTGCTTGCCAGCTTTTAAGATCCCAGTCAGTACTCACCAAAGTATTAACCTGTCTATTTTGGCATCCTATGTACCCCTATACATATGCACAACCACACATGTGTTTTTTTTTCTGCCACACTGTTGAAACTCAGATGTAGGCATCATAACAATCACCCCTAGATATTTTAGGATGGCTCTCCTAGGAATAAGGACATTTTCTTACAGAATCACAATGCCATTATTACCCTCCTGGAATTTAATACTACAGACCAGCAGCTTCAGTGTTACTTGGGAGCTTGTTAGAAATATAAACTCTTGGGCCCCAACCCAGATATGCTGAGTCAGAATCCTCATTTTCACAAGATCCTTAAGAGATTTATATACGTAACAAAGTTGGAGAATAAATGATCTAATTAATATTCCATTTTCCATGAGGATCACTCACTGAATTTATAATCTTTATTCTCCTTTATTCTGGAATAGTTCCTCCACTTTTTTTTTGTTGTTTCATGCACTGACATTTTTGAAGAGTAAATGCCAGCTGTCCTGTGTTCCACAACCTGGATTTGTCTGAGTTTCCTCATGACTAGATTCAGGTTAAACAAAATTTCTGGCAAGATTAATACACAAGTGATGTTGGGTCCCTCCCACTATGTCACATGGAGGGGGCAAGTGATGTTAATCTGTCTTGTTAGTGGTCTTGCTAAGTTTAATCATTTGGTCAATGTAGTGTCTACTAGACTCTCCACTGTAAAGGGCTCTTCCTCCTTTATAATTAACATGTAGTCTTTGCAGTGATAGTTTGAGGTTAGTAAATATCTTTTTCTCAATGATCTTTCACTTGCTGCTTTTAGGATCCATCAGTGACCCTTGCCTCAATTAAGTATTACACTGAAGATTAGAACATGATGATTTTCTAATTCTATCAATCATTATTTATTAGTTGACATTCTTCTGTAAAGAAGGGCTTTGGTGTTCTGCTCTTCATTTTTAAAGTATCACCATAGATGCATTTTCTTCCATGTGTTATAGTCTGTTATCATTGTTCTTTTTCATATTCAAATTACCCTCAAATTGGCTAGTGGGAGCTTCTGAAGCCAGGTTCCTGTATCCTTCTGACATACCTCCACTAATTTTGAGTATTTTGCTTTTTTTGGCACAGAATGTATCAGGTTCATCTTATACTTTCCCTGTTCTAGATCTGTAATCAGCTAATTCTGCAAGAAGTCTTGATTCCTTTTAGTGGGGAATGGTACTTAAAAATCCAGATCTGAAGGCTAGGTATATATGTATTACTTACATATAATGTAAAAAAACATAATGAATTTATATTGAATTCCCCAATTCAAACTCAACACTTGTGGGCTTTTTCTCCCTCACTGTACCCCATTTCATATTTATAATCTCACTTCTCCAGTCAGCGATGTTGCTTGGAATTAGGGTTCCAACAGAGGATCATGTTCAAAAGTCACTTGAATTATTTTTGTGCATGTGGTTATGTGATTACTTTTGATATACAGGAAGGCTTATATTTTGTTTGCTTTTAATTTAGTTTTTTTCCCCTCATTTTGATTTACTTTGGAATATGTAAAATAATTTCATGGTTTAAAAGCCAAAATTATATAAAAAGGTATACACAGAGGAGTCTCAACCTGCCCATTTCCTAGGTGAGCAAATAAAATCGCTAAACGACCAGGTGTGCTCTTTTCATACACACACACACACACACACACACACTCTCTCTCTCTCTCTCACAAAGTCACCAGTTCATCTATTTTGGCAAGATTGATAGGTGATGTGTTCATAGACCCAAGTTTGAAGTAAACGAGTGAACCATATTTCAAATATGTTACATATCTCTCACATTTGAACATAAAGAGCATTGAGAAATTTTTGACTTCCATCCTTAATGGATGAGAACAAGAATGTTAAAAAAAAAA